CATAGATAAAAGAAGCTTCCCGTTTACTCTGTCAATATTGTGATAAAAGCTTATTAAATAAATTGCTTTGTGCTTCTCAATTTCAAATAAAATGCAAATTAGAGTCTGAACTTTCATTCCTTGAATTACTGCACAATTGATCCTCAGACGGGAAGCTTCTTTTATCTATGTGTAGTTTGATTATTTGGCCAGGATAGTATCTGCGTTTTGAGGAGTTTCTCCTTTTTGGTTTGATACAAAATCTATCTCACCTAGACAAGAGAAAAAACCGCGCTACAGTCAAGTGGTAGCACGCTTGCATTCTACTTCTGAGGTTCCGACTTCGATGGATTCAGACTACTGACGAAGTAGTACAGGAAGCGGACAAATCTCGCCACTCGAGCAGCTAGATCTCATTTGGCTGATGCATAACGAATAAGCCGTCGGCTCACATACAGAAGGGTGGATCAGGATTTGAAAACTTGAGACATCTGTGGCGTCGTCGCGATGTCCGACTGTCTATAAAGACTTAAATGTATAGCACAGCGGTTGGGCCAATACTGCATTACGGTTCAGAAATTTAGCCCTAACAAGAACAGAATAAAAATAAACTGTCATTTTTCGAACACCACTCTGTACGCCGCATCGCAAGAGTCCAGTGTGGCAACCGAACGAACAGTGCTGAGGCCATACGCAGAGTTTTAGGCGATTGCGATCTCCCGCTGGTTCAGGTGATCGACCTCCATAGATTACGCTGCTTGGGACGTTTTTCGCTTGCCACCAAATAGGTTACTATGGCTCACGATGTTTTCCGAGACAGGTAGAGGATGGAAAACGTCAATAGCGGTCAGATATAGATTTTTTCACACACGTCTGAATCTAGACTGTGCCAAACAAACTATGTTACAATAATGTTTATGAAAGAAAAATACATTCCATGATTTGCATGTGGGCGGAATACTTCCAGGTTACCCAGGCCAAGGCAGATGAATTTTCTTGAGCAATCAACAACCGGAGCCTTTGGTTAGCCAAAGCCGGACCCACAGGGCGGCGAGATGGTGTGCGAAAACCGCAATCCATAGATTGCCGGTCAAATTAAGACCTAGAATGAGGGTATGAAAAACCCAATGGCGACATTTGTGCATCTACACGTTATCACTGCAACCTTAGTCTATATAAATCTTCCATCTTTTTTTTATTCTTTTCTCAATATTCCAATGCACATTCTGCTCCTTTATCCAAATGGGGAGCCAAAAGGCAGTAACCAAAAGTGGTGATGAATGCTTAATTGTTGTAAACACTGAACTGAACTGCTGATGAAACCCGACATGTTCTTTTGTCAAATGTATTGGAATGCAGCCAAGGCCAACTGTTGCACTGATGTGCATGAAGCCTAAATAAAAATTGAAGAACGTCAGCTTTAGATGGTGAATGTTTGGATTAGCCCATTCGGTTTTTCACAGGCACTGCTGATGTTCGATGTGGGCTACACTCCCTGGGAGATCCTCAGCTTTACTTCAAAATGCAAATCTGTTTGAATAATTGACTTTGGCTACCCTTCGAATGCTGTGCGAATAAATGTATTGATGGATATCCTCAACGGTAAGAGCTGAGATTGGAGCGATTCGCGAGATCAGTATTTTTTACAATCTACTGGACCGTCAACTGTGCGGATCATTTCTAGGAATCTAAGTTGGCCTTTTTCTGAACTATTCCTATATTTGGTCTTTTCTACCTCCCACGGCAATATTGTGACAATGTAATGAATTCCAGCAGTTGTGTTTGGAAGGAGACCTTAGTTAAATGGATGCAATGTCTTCGCTAGATTATGATTAAAAGACATTATAATTGAGGATTTCTTCGATCAGTTTCAGTGGTTGGAGAATTTCAAGTGGTTAGTACGCTTGCGTCCTTCCCATGGTTTACAATCCCAGGGTTTTATCCTTTCGGTTCACGGCTTGTTTACCCTGTACACGACAAAATTCACTGCATGATCAAATCAACTCTTCAAATACTCCCATGTTCTGTTTGTGTTCAAAGACCTACTGAGAGGTGGGCGGAAGGAAGGTGCAGTAGAACTTTCAGAAATCTTTGGTGGTACGAAAGCTAGCTTCAATTTTTAAAACGAATTTTACATTGGTTGAAATGCTTACAATTTGCTTTCAGAATTCATACCTGAGTTCAAAAACTGACAATTGGATTGTTTGAATGAAAGTCTTGTCAATCCGTTCCATTGGGATCTGTGAACGAATCGTTCAGTCATTCTCAAGGAAGACGTCGCTTACCTTACAGTTTTGGCTGTAGTGATAGATGTGATTTGAAGGTGCGATCAATTAGTCATATCGATTGACCTTTATCGTGTACCTTCTTGCTGCTATTATTACTGCTGAGTTGTGGACTGACTGTGTGTGTGATTATCGGATTGAAAACTATGTTTTATAAGTTACTGTTTATTATCGTCGCAGTTGGGCTGGAATTTCATGTCTCATCGGCCAACGATAATTATGTTTATTTGACAAATCATCGTGAAACGCAGGTGCGTTTCCTATTCAGCCACAATATTCCCTTCGAAGACATGCGACACTTGGAGTCACGCGCGCAACGAATGGGGATGCGATTTGAATCACGATTTCCGGACCGGACCAGAGTGCCTCTATTTCGGCAAATTACGGCAAATTTTACTGGGATTATTGAAAGCTATTTTCAGGCGGCATTTTATGTTCTCAAACAGCCGAGCACAATGATAGCTGTGCCCACGTTAGAAAGCATTATGAGAACTCATTTGGCAACTGAACAGTACGACAAAGATTTTCTATGGTACATTTTGTTGGGAGAACCACAGAAATTAATCGAACCACATTATGCTGATTTTTACACTAAATTTGTCCAAGAACTGATATTGGAACCTGGAACGGAAGATAACCCGACTCCATTTTTTATGCATGCAATGAAAGCATGGAAATTGTTCTTCATGTTGGAGCTAAGCAGCTCACAAGACTGGATTCAAGCCGTCATAGAACCATGGACAGATCGATACAGTGGGAGTTTGAGTAAAATTCACGATGAATGGAGCCTTCTGTTTATCGATGAATTTTGTCGAGCGTATCATCGTTACAAAGATCGAAAGTTAGTCATCCCCAATGGTTTATGTCCAGACCCATGCATTACGCAACCTTGCTTCAATATTCCGAACACAGCTTCGTCCAAATGCACCACTACTGGAACTCAATGGAATGAGTTTAATTGTTCATGTCAACCCCGATACAGCTGGATCAAACCACCCAGGTGGGCAGGTGAGTAATATAGTTGCGTACAGTTTTGTTTGAAATATGTATGCTCAAACAAGGTATAACAAATATTAAAGTACAAGAGATTTAAAGTTAAAAAGAATGTCGATCATAAAACTGGTGGTATGGATAAATGTTGTCAACTGTGGGATTTGTGTACCTACTCGGCTCATTCAAATCTAGTTGACACGTATTCTACATCTTTACTTTGGAACCGATTCGCCTAGTATTTCACTGATCTTCAATCTGTTCTTTAGTACTGTACGATAGCAGCCAAAACCAGTGCAATGTTAACGGTTGTACAAACTGAACCTAGCAGAAATGTTTTGAACCCACGGAAGTGCTATAAATGTACTTGTGATGACTGACGCAGAGCAGTGGACAACTGTTTCGTTCTTTTCCGAACTTATCAGCAGTGTGTACTTTTCTATCCCCGTCAGAACCCGAATCGTGAACCCCCGGGTGGAGAGACGATACGTCTAAGCCTTAGTTACACGGCCGTCAGTCATCCATCACCTTGAGCGAACGGTACAATCAATTTCGACGGTGAATGTTTGGATCAGCCTAGCTCCTATTGACGATAGGTGTGGATTTCACTCCTCGGGAAATTGTTAGTTCCGCACCAGTATCTAGTGCCTGTGACAAACCGGGTTGGCTAATCCGAACATTCACCGCCTAGATTATACAAACATCAATCAACACGGTAGGAGTATCAGCGTTCAGGTGCTAGAAAAATAAACTGGCATAAAACAAAACAACGTTGCATTCAGAGTTTTAGTTGAATTTAGCTTCACAATTCTACTTCACACTTGTCTTTTTCACCAGTTCATTTATCTCAATCCAACCACTGAGGCAAAGAACCCAATCCAAACGTTTACTATCTCTTCTCAATGTCTTAGTCTCACTTTTACCTACATTATCCATATCTCACATGATCGTTTATCAAGCACAATCCATCTCGATGAGAAAAATTAAAATTTGGACCAGTATGGAGGTATTCTTGGTGTATATGCGTAGGAACAATGGGGATGTTCTCGAACACACCGTGGCGCTATATTAGACAAGTCAATGAGCTCAGACTGTTAATCAACTGGGATGTTATACTTCGTCTGTCCGTTTCACATACTCCTACGATGTGATCACTGTGCTGGGTAAGTGAGGTTTGCACCGTTTTTTAATTAGTATCGACTATTAAAATTATGAAACGCACGTAACCTGGATCTAACTTGAACCAAACGTGACCATTTTTTCTGTCTTGCATAAATTGGTATATAGGACACTGTCAAATGAATGATGACTGTACCAATTATTGCAACATGGAAGGAACACGACGTTGTGATGTGATCGATCAAAAAGAGTTTTGCGTCTGTCGGGTAAGTCAGATGATGCCGTTGGTTCTGTTCACAAGAAATTCCAATTCCCTAAATCTGTGCTACAAATGGGTTTTTCGTCGATTTCTCAAACGTATTTGCAATCCAACAAAGTATTTTCCCCGTAATGAGGTAATGCGCATCCAGCTGAATGAAAAACCCCATCCACATACATTTAGTTTGATGCCATCAACCGTGATTGATTTTCACGGCAAATTTCAGTTACTCATTCCTTTAAAATCGAATCAGCTTCTTTGTATTAAAACCACCACTTGTTTCAAGGGGAAACTGGCAAGAGTGCATGCACTTCACGTTCCAACCAGTATACCTAGTCAAAGCTAACCTTTTATCTCAGTTTCGAACGCAAACTTCTAAGTACTCATTTGTCTGATACTTTCTAGTGAACTGCATCTGTTATCTCTCCGTATGGAATTGGTCCCTCGAAAATGATTTTCCGAAGGAAATGCTGGCGTAAACGTTGTGTCTTCGACAACGATTCACGGACTGACCGTCACAACGCTTTTGTCAGCAATACTCAGAAGCTTAAAACAGTGATCGATTGGGACTACGGTGATCAGGTGCACCCAGAATGTGATTAATCTGCCACAGGTTGTCCAAAGTGTTCGTCTTTTATTTGGAACACATACTTACACCAAATACCCTCTCGTTGGACCTCAGCATTGTTCACATGATTTCGGCATCAACGATCGATTACTGAAAGCTATCGTGCATCTGCCATGGGGACGGGTTTGTAGTCGTAAGGCAAAACACGTATAATGGTGACATTGTATACCCATCCCTTCGGAGGAAAGCAGCTACACTACCCCACATTCCCCTGGTCATACACACACGCACACATCGAAGATAGCAACGTGCATTTACAGAAAAGCCAAATTCAATTATCACCAGTTAAGATTGCAGTATCGACATCACATCAAGTCAGGATTAGTAAGTTCAGACTAGGCTCTTTGTAGGCGAGACACTGATACACTTGGAGTTCCTAAGAGGTGAAACCCACAACCGACAAGTGTGTTTGAGAAAAATCAGATGAACTCATTTAAACATAACATTCGGAATTAGACATACAATTATTGCACGAGGTTTGCTCAGCTGATGTCACTTTAATACAGAGACCGTGCATCGGAAAAAACAACTGATTCATTCTCAGTGAAGCCAAGAGTATGTTTCGTGACATGACGGAACACAAATGGTAATAATGCACCAAACAAATTCATCAACGAGCGAGGCACATTAAAACAAATCATTGTGTTGTAACCTTCGCCTTGAAATGTAAACTGAACATCGCCCGAATTGCGTGGCAATAGATTTTTAACTTTCGTTTCACCTCAGATACCATGAACCTTAATACTGATCTCAGCGTTCTACTGCTTACCTCTACCCATTTATTCAAATAGACAGGCAAAAGCAACAGCTAAAACCGCCGAAGGAATAAAGATGTGGTTCGCGGTTGCATAAAATGAAGTTGATTTCACCGTCTGAGGAAGAAGCACAGCTCCAACAGAACAACTACAAAAAAGTGAAGCGAGAAATTTGGACTGTTTCGATCCTGTTGATTGGTGGACTGATTTTGTGTGACATATATGTCTTGAAAAAAATGATTTTACGTTATTGGTTATGCAAACGCACAACAGCTAGAGCTACCAATCGAAGTGAATCTCGAACGATCTGAACACTCTCCTAAATGATAAGAAATAGCGTACAGTGCGATGATGTTCATTAGGATCCCAACCATATCAAATGTACATCATTGAATAATGTTTGCTCTGAAAATTAAATTATTCTCGTTTCTTTTTTAACGTTACAATGTTCACGTGATAGAATAAATGTTAAGCAATCAGTTATCCCCCATTTACCCAGCATTCAGAGGTCTGGCAAAATGTTCGAACAGATAATCAAACAAATAAATGAAAAAACTGACGTTTTTATCTTCGTCTCTCGTTGCTCTTGTGTCAGCCAACATACATGGGTCCGACATGTCACAAGAAACGAGATCCTTGTATCGAACTTTCTAGTCCAACCGAGATTCCGGGGAATGTGGCGTGTAACGTGAATCAGGGCGGCAAATGCGTTGGCACACTGGGTACAAATACGTATCACTGCATGTAAGTGCACCACCGTATGTATCAAGCTCGCCATGCTCAAGATTTCACTCACACACACGTACTCAAAGGTTATTTATTTTCTTTGTTGCTGGTAAATATGATTCCGTTATCGATTGATGCACGAACATAATGCAGAATAAATTTGGCAGATTTGAGTATCCAACCGTTGAATAGTTGAAAATCAAAGCACGTTCATTACCCAAGTCATGTAATTCTACAATTGTGGTAATCGAAGAACTGGTTCATTCAAATGTTATTTCAACAAGCGATATGTGGCTAAATTCGGATTTACATATTACACCAGTTGGTTTTGCATCATTTCTATATAACGAGACAACAGAAACGCATGAAATCAGAAAAACCTGATGAAAATGCTTGGAAAATAAACGTTGCAAGAAGTAAATGAAAAATGCCCATTGTCACATTGAAAATAAAGTCCAGCAGGCGAAACAAGCTGTTTTTCGATAAATTCATCAACGGGTCATTACAATTATATACGGTTATTTGGGTTCATCGATCTGGTTTTGATCGCATCAAACTAAGTACAGAATGTATGCTCAGATTGTTTACCTGATATTCATTTCGATTAGTCTGTTGGTGCGTCCCCCGGGGGTGGGATGGACTCTTCATCCGAGGCCATGGCAAGGCTGAAGCCCGAACGAACTGCTTTTGGTTGCAACGAGGTGTTCAATATTTGGATGGCTAGCCCTTCGGCTGTGCACAGAATGATAAACCGAAGGTGCTTCGGCGGAGATGATGGCGTGCGGTAAATGGTGCGGAAAGCCTGATCAACATTGATGGTGTGCCGTGTCTCCAGTATACGTCGACAGATAGCACTTTTCGCCGTCCTAGTTCCACCGTGTCTCAACCAGCGGAGGTGGTGTTCTGGTATCCTCTTCGATAGCTGCTTGGTAGTTTGGCCTATGTAGCTCGCTCCACAGGAGTAAGTGAACGCGTAAAGGCAGATGGATGCGGCTTGGGGGGGAGGGGGGTAGTTTATCTTTGAGGTAGAACCGTATTGCCGAGGACGTAGTGAAATACATCCGCTGGTGTAAACGTTTGACGCAACGCCTGATTGATTCGTCGTGTAAGCCACTCAGCCGTGTTATAACCTTTGAATGGTGGTTGCAGGTGGAGTGGTTTCTTGTTGGCCGTGTGCACAACCGGTCGAGTTGATATTCCCGTTAAATGTTTATCTATGACATTATCCGGATAACCGTTCCCGTGAAGGAAGTTCTTGATATGGTCAAGTTCTGATTGAGTTGTGTAAAATGTTGCTCCAAGGTTGGGTTGATTCAGCACTCAGTCTCACCCTGACTGGGGAAGTAGTACAGGAAGTGGACAAGTTTTGATATCTGCGCAGCTATATCTCACCTTGCGGACGCATCACAGATGAAGCGTCGGCGTGCATACAAAACGCTTGGTTGGCATTTACCAACTTGAGACATTTGTGGCGCCGTCGCAATATCCGACTGTCTGTGAAGGGTCGAATTTATGCCACAGCAGTTCGGCCAGTGCTGCTATACAGCGCAGAGGCTTGGCTATTGCGGGAACGGGTTAAAAATAGATTGTCGGTGTTCGAACACCGCTGTCTACGTAGCATTGCGCAAGTCTGTTGGGGTAACCAGACGAGCGATGCTTAGGTCAGGCATAGAGTTTTAGGCATTCGTGGTGGTCCATGGGAGCAAGTGATCGACCCCCATTGATTACGTTAGTTGAGGCATGTGTTACGCATGTCACCAAATAGGTTGCCACGGCGTACGATGTGTACCGAGGCAGGCAGTGAATGATAAAGACCTGGCATACCGGTACGAAAACCAGGAAACTAGGTCACACAGGTCCCGTTAGTCTCCCTGGCTGGGGACCTCGGGATGATCGTCACCGATGGTTAGAGACACTGAATGATACGGCTAGGTGTCGCAAACAGGGGCGCTCGTGTATCCACTCACTATTCTCCTAACACCACTCTATATAAATTCTCCATATTGCGCTTGAATTTGCTTTCAACATTTCAATCCTCATTCTGCGCTTTTATCCAAATGGGGCACCAAGAGACAGCAACCAAAACCGGCGCACGAAAGCGCATGTTTATTGGTTGTAAAAACTGAAATTGTAAGGCCGTTCCATTTCTGCCACCATGCTATTGTCAATGCGAATTGCAACCGTTGTGTCCTCTCGATTTCCCAATTTTCCGTTCTAAACACATTTCTCCTTCGAGTTCTGAAACCGTGCACTCTAACCCATTTCTTGCTCCCCTCAGACTCCAATTTTATTTCATTAACTTGTGCTACGCGACAGTTCTTTCTTTGCTCCTGGTTTTTCTGACCTTGAACCGTATTCTCGGTTTTAAATCCAGATAAGCGCAACGTTTCAATTCATCTGATAGTCCCATTACCACCGGTCGCTCATCGAGGATACTCCCCATTCTTCTAACCTAGTTAGTTTTGGCTTCACACCGCTTGTCACCTTGGATTTTTGCCGAGAGTAAGAAACTTCTTGTAGCACGCCGATCAGTCCCGTCAAGCAGTGAACACAAAGAAACAACTCGTAATGGGATGAGAGCTCAGCACAAGTCTACAGAGAGACCGCAAAATCTAGCGGACTCAATGTGCATCACAAGTGGAACGTGCTGACGCCATTCTCGCTATTCTATCTCATCCGGGTCACCGGTAGAAAAGCTTTAGGTATGAGGGAAATAATCTGAGGCTGACGGTTCGCTCATTCACAATCGACAACGTCTTGCACGTCGAGCGGAGTACTTCGAGGCACAGTTTAGTTGGCCATCAGCATCATCTCACACAGTTATTCCGGTGCACGTCCCATGATGTCTCAACAGACCCATCTTCCGAGACAGAAATCTGCGAGATTCAAGCCTTGGGACGTCATAAAGCGCCGGGCTCCGATGGCCTTCCCCTAGCTCTATTTAAAGATGGTGGAATACGCCTTGGTGGATAACTGGCAGCTTTACCTGGTGCGTGTGAAAAACCGAATGGGTTAATCCGAACATTGACCATCTAAATATGCCCTTTAAGGTTTCGAGCGGTGAATAGGCCCGAAACTCAAGGCCGAGATCAAATGTTGTTATCTCCTTGAAGGAGAGCACGTGAAATGGCACAGCAGGGCTATATACTACCGAGCGCATCCCCAGGTCGCGGATAAGGGAATGGCCGCCATCTCGCGGCGAACCGTGAATGA